GGCGGCCGCGGCCGCCTCCTCGGCCGCCGCCGCCTCCGCCTCGGCGGCCGCCAGGGCGGCGGCCTCGGCCTCGGCCTCCCGCAGGGCCTCGGCGGCCAGGCGCTCCGCCTCCTTGGCGGCGGGCAGCAGCACGGTGACGTCAGCGGCAACCATGGCCTTGGCGTCGAGCAGGCCGTGCTGGCGCAGCAGCACCAGGGTGGCGTCCACCACCAGGTCGTCAGACTGCAGGGGTTGGGGTGCAGCGGGTTTCGTGTTGGGTTTGGTGTGCTGGGCGTTGGTTCTAAGGCAGGTTCAGCGCAGGATGGTGCGGCGCGCAGTGTGAGTGGATGATGCAGGGTTCTCAACACCAAAGAAGGCGCTGATTGGATTGATGCGGGTTGCAGGCAGCAGCAGGCTGCTGGCTGGGCGTGGTCCACGGCAGCGGAGGTGCAGTTAAGTGGGCCGGCGCGAGCCTCACCAGGCTCGTGACAGCGCTCAGGCGCGCCGCGTTGGCCGGCAGCTCCAGCATCAGGGGGCTGCGCTTCAGCGCCTCCAGCACGCGCGCCACCTCACCAGTCGCGCGCACGGCCGGGGCCGGCGCGGGGGCGCGCGCGGGCGCGGCGGCCTTGGCGGGCGCGGGCGTGTGTGCGGGCGCGGCGCGGGCGGGCGCGGAGTAGGAAGACCATGGCGCAGGCGCCGCGGCCTCAGCGGCGGCCTCGGCCTCAGCGGCCTCTGCGACGGCAAGCTCGGCGGCGCGCTCAGCTGCCTCCTCGGCTTCGATGCGGGCAACCTCCTTAGCCACGTCCAGGAGGATCTGAGGAGTGGGGGGCGCCATGGTGTGCCTCAGGTCCGCATGGCTAGGAGTCAAGTTTTGGCGAGGCTGACCACCTGCACAGGAGTCACGACAGCGCTGCGTGACCCCCAAAAACGCAGCTTCCACATCACTCAGCCTGCTGCCCCTCACCGTGGGGTCCTCGATGACCATCTGCTTGGCGTCAAACAGGCCCTCCACGCGCATCAGCAGCACGCACGACGCGTTGATGGTGGCGTCGTCCAGGGCGGCCACGGCAGACAGGCCCGCCGCGCCAGCTGGCAGCTCCAGCATCAGGGGGCTGTTCTTGATGGCCTCAATCACGCGAGCCTCGGGGCCGGTCGCACGCGCAGGCGCGCGCGCGGGCGCCGCCGGGGCGGCGTACACAGGCGCAGGCGCAGAGTAGGACGACCAAGGCGCGGGCGCTGCGGCCTCAGCAGCGGCCTCGGCCTCAGCGGCCTCGGCGGCGGCGAGCTCGGCGGCGCGCTCGGCGGCCTCCTCGGCCTCAATGCGGGCCACCTCCTTAGCCACGTCCAGGAGGATCTTGAGGGGAGGGAGGGGAGGGAGTCAGCAGGCAGCGTCACGCTCACGCAGGGCAGCTGAGTGCAGCATGTTGCCGGCAGCAATGAGGGTACAAGGAGAGCGGAATGGAAAACGTTGTAATCCTTTTCGTGGAGAACGTGTGGCGCCATACGTGAGATTTGATGAAACAGAGTCCCAAGCAGCACCAACCCCTCAGCTGCCACCCACCGTGGGGTCCTCCTTAACAAGCTGCTTGGCGTCAAACAGGCCCTCCACGCGCATCAGCAGCACGCACGACGCATTGATGGTGGCGTCGTCCAGAGCGGCCACGGCAGACAGGCCCGGCGCGCCAGCTGGCAGCTCCAGCATCAGGGGGCTGCTCTTGATGGCCTCAATCACGCGCGCCTCGGGGCCGGTGGCACGCACGGGCGCACGCGCGGGCGCGCGCGCAGGCGCCGCCGGGGCGGCGTACACAGGCGCAGGCGCTGCCCAAGTGGCATCCTCCTCCTCCCTGGCGGCGGCCTCGGCCTCGGCCTCAGCGGCGGCGAGCTCGGCGGCGCGGGCGGCGGCCTCCTCGGCCTCAATGCGGGCTGCCTCCTTCGCAGCTGGCACCAGAATCTGCCAGGCAAGTGGGGCCATGGGTGCACCAATGTGTCAATCAAAGGCAAAGTTTGAAACAACCTCAGTACATAACGCTTGTGTCCTGCAGCATTTTCCGCTGCCTTCCTTTTTACACCTTGAGCGACAAAACACTGAAGCAGATGACTGGCTTTGACTGCATGCCCACAACCAACTTTTGCCACCCACCGAGGCATCCGCCCTCAGCAGCTCCTTGGCGTCAAAGAGGCCCTCAGCGCGCAGCAGCACCACGGTGGCCCCGATGATGGCGTCATCGGCCTGCATGAGGGAGCGGGCAGTCCCGCGCTTGTCAGCAATAACGGCTGTCATAGCTTGGAGCTCAACATCGTGCAGAGCATACAGCTCCATACAACCAGGTTGCAAAATCCACATCAGCGCCCTGGTCACTGCACTGCTCACCAGGCGGGTCACAGCCTCCAGGCCGCGGGTGTTGGCCGGCAGCTCCAGCATCAGGGGGCTGCGCTTGAGCACCTCCAGCACGCGCGCCACCTCGCCAGTCGCACGCACGGCCGGGGCCGGAGCGGGGGCGCGCACGGGCACGGGCGCCTTGGCGGGCGCGGAGTAGGACGACCACGGCGCGGGCGCCGCGGCCTCAGCGGCGGCCTCGGCCTCGGCAGCCTCGGCGGCGGCGAGCTCGGCGGCGCGCTCGGCGGCCTCCTCAGCATCAATGCGGGCCACCTCCTTAGCCACGTCCAGGAGGATCTGACGAAAGAGCAGTACACACGGTGGTTGAGACCACGTGGTTCAGAAGTACGGTCCAGAGGCGGCGGCTCAAGACCAGCTGATACCTTAGCAGGCGGCAGGAGCGCCCATCAACCCAGACCAGGCAACAGGCAGATCCGTGACGGCAGCCGCCAGCTGCCGTCCCAGTCAGCCAACGTGGGCCCCGCGCCTCACCGTGGGGTCCTCCCTGACCATCTGCTTGGCTTCGAAGAGGCCCTCCACGCGCATCAGCAGCACGCACGACGCGTTGATGGTGGCGTCGTCCAGGGCGGCCACGGCGGACAGGCCCGCCGCGCCAGCTGGCAGCTCCAGCATCAGGGGGCTGCTCTTGATGGCCTCAATCACGCGAGCCTCAGGGCCGGCTGCGCGCACGGGCGCACGCGCAGGCGCCGCCGGGGCGGCGTACACGGGCGCGGCCCAGGCCGACGCGGCCACCTCCTCCTCCCTGGCGGCGGCCTCGGCCTCGGCCTCGGCAGCGGCGAGCTCGGCGGCGCGAGCGGCGGCCTCCTCCGCCTCAATGCGGGCCGCCTCCTTAGCGGCAGGCACCAGCAGCTGCGGGGACAGGCAATCAAGCCAGATAAGTGGTCAGAGGCTCTGTCTATACATATAGAGGGCATCGAGCGGCCTGCCTTGCAATTCAAACCACAGCAACAGCAGAATCCAGGACTCACAGCCGTCAGAAACCTCTACACCCTGCAGCCACCCACCGAGGCGTCCGCCCTCAGCAGCTCCTTGGCGTCAAAGAGGCCCTCAGAGCGCAGCAGCACCACGGTTGCCCCGATGATGGCGTCGTCAGCCTGCAGTCAGGATGAGGCAGCCGCGCGTTTTGTGTTTTGTTCGTGACGACTGTGTGTGCTGACTCAGCGCAGGCATGAACAGCATCTGACCGCAGTCGTTCCCACGACACCAAGTCGGCCTGCGGCGCAGCAGAGTACTCAGGCTGCGCTCTCTGCAGCGTCTGGACGCGCCGTCCTGCTCACCAGGGCGGTGACGGCCTCCAGGCCGCGGGTGTTGGCCGGCAGCTCCAGCATCAGGGGGCTGCGCTTCAGCGCGTCTAGCACGCGCGCCACCTCGCCGGTCGCGCGCACCGCCGGAGGGGCCGCAGCAGCAGCGTACGACGGCGCCGACCACGCGGCCTGCTCCTCAGCCTCGGCCTCGGCCTCGGCGGCGGCGAGCTCGGCGGCGCGGGCTGCAGCCTCCTCCGCCTCCAGGCGGGCCGCCTCCCGGGCAGCAGGCACCAGGAGCTGGGGGGGGGCAGGCAACCAAGCGGGTTGCAGGGCAAGATCGAGTGCAATTCACCAGACCTCTACCCACTACACATGGCAGTCCGAACCTAATGAACCCCCAAACAAGCCACGGCCCCTTGAACGCTTAGCCACCCACCGATGCGTCCGCCCTCAGCAGCTCCTTGGCGTCAAAGAGACCCTCAGAGCGCAGCAGCACCACAGTGGCCCCGATGATGGCGTCATCGGCCTGGGGCGCCAAGTGTCGAGCCGTACAGTCGGCAGAGCGAGAGGCCTGAACACTGAGAAATGCACCGTGTGCATCGTCATATTGTTGGGCCCCAATGGCCGCACCACCCCCAAATCCACATCAGCCCCCGTGTCACTGTGCTGCTCACCAGGCCGGTCACAGCATCCAGGCCGCGGGTGTTGGCCGGCAGCTCCAGCATCAGCGGGCTGCGCTTGAGCGCCTCCAGCACGCGCGCCACCTCGCCAGTCGCCCGCACGGCGGGGGCAGCAGCGTAGTACGCAGGGGCGGCCTCATAACCCTCCTCCTCCCTGGCAGCAGCCTCGGCCTCTGCCTCGGCAGCAGCAAGCTCGGCAGCGCGTGCCGCTGCCTCCTCGGCCTCGATGCGGGCGGCCTCCTTTGCAGCTGGCACCAGGATCTGCAGGGGTGAGGCCACAAACTCTCCCTTGTCAAGATCTTTCCAAACGCCCAGGCAGCGGGCCCTGGGCGCCACTGTAGGGCAGCGCAGCTTTGCGGGCTTTGCAACACGCCACACAGCCACAGATACAAGCCTGGGCGCCGCCCACTTCACCCCGGCTGCCCACCGATGCGTCGTTCCTCAGCAGCTCCTTCGCGTCAAACAGGCCCTCAGCGCGCAGCAGCACCACAGTGGCCCCGATGATGGCGTCGTCGGCCTACGGCAGACGGTCGAAGTGGGGATGTGTGGCAATCCTGATGTGTTGCAAAATCCGCTGGTCCAGCACGCGCCACTGACAGAGCTGAGAGGCTTGAGCTTCGTAGCCTCACTAGCTGGCAGTCCTATCGCTGTGCCTACCCTGCCGTCCAAGCAACAGCGCTGCTCACCAGGCCGGTGACAGCCTGCAGGCCGCGTGCATTGGCCGGCAGCTCCAGCATCAGCGGGCTGCGCTTCAGCGCCTCCAGCACGCGCGCCACCTCGCCAGTTGCGCGCACGGCCGGGGGCGCCGGAGCAGCGGTGTATGCCGGCGCTGTCCAGGTGGCCCGCCCCTCAGCCTCAGCCTCGGCCTCAGCCTCGGCCTCGGCAGCGGCAAGCTCGGCGGCCCGGGCGGCGGCCTCCTCGGCCTCAATGCGGGCCGCCTCCTTTGCAGCCGGCACCAAGATCTGCAGAGAGGGTGAAAGCATGAGCTCGCTAAATGGCAAATCCTGCTGGTGCCCTGTGCGGCAACGCCTGCTTCCTTGGCTCCAAGGACCGCCACGCGCGGGGAAACCCTTTGTGCCAGCCGCTGATACCCTCTGCCGCGCAAAGTGACCCACCGATGCGTCGCTCCTTAGCAGCTCCTTGGCGTCGAAGAGGCCCTCGGCGCGCAGCAGCACCACGGTGGCCCCGATGATGGCGTCATCGGCCTGCGGCACAGGGTTGCAGAGGTCAACCGTGGTGCGTGCTTTGAAATGCCCGGTGGGTAGCACAAAACGCTAGTTTGGCATGCTTGACCCAGGTCACAACTGACGGCCGCATCAACCAAAGACAGCAGGGCGACTGGTAGGTTAGAGCCTACTGCCACCAGGCCAGCGCCGCTCACCAGGCGGGTCACAGCCTCGAGGCCGCGGGTGTTGGCCGGCAGCTCCAGCATCAGGGGGCTGCGCTTGAGCGCCTCCAGCACGCGCGCAACCTCGCCAGTCGCGCGCACGGCAGGGGCTGCCCGAGCCGCCGGCGCAGCAGCGTACACAGGCGAGGGCATGGCCACGTATCCGTTCTCCTCCCAGGCAGCTGCCTCGGCCTCCGCCTCGGCGGCGGCGAGCTCGGCGGCGCGGGCGGCGGCCTCCTCGGCCTCGATGCGGGCTGCCTCCTTTGCAGCCGGCACCAGAATCTGCAATACCAGCCAGCACACAGGCCTGCTATTTCAGGCAAAAAGGGACACAGAAACCGGCAGCGCACAAGCCGCAGCAACTTCCTCACCCACACCATTTGTGTCCGCGCTCACACCATGGCAGCACTGCGGTGCTGGACCGCGTTCTACTGCATTCCCACAACCAACCCTCGCCACCCACCGATGCGTCGTTCCTAAGCAGCTCCTTGGCTTCAAAGAGGCCCTCAGAGCGCAGCAGCACCACGGTGGCCCCAATAATGGCATCCTCGGACTGCACAAATCCAGCCATGAACGCACAGGAATCCAGCGGTCAGCTGCTGCAGCTCAAAACGGGCGTGCTTGCAAAGGTTGAGCACGCATCTGCTCTGCGCATTGTGACACACATTCGGTCGGCATTTGATGCGCACCCAGCCAGGCCGGCACGGCAAGGAAACCGTAACGTCTGCTCCTGTTGCTTACCAGGTCAGCCACGGCGGCCAGGCCGGGCGTGGTAATCGGGAGCTCCAGCATCAGGGGGCTGCGCTTGAGCGCCTCAAGCACCGCGTCGAAGCGCGAGGGCGAGGGCATGGCAGCCAGGAACTCGGCCTCGCTCTCCTGCATGGGCGGAGGACGCGGCATGCCCGAGCTCTCAGTCAGCAAACCAGCTAGGAGCGCTCCCGTGTTCTGCATATCTCTTTACGGCACCTGCAGCACAGCGGCAGTCCCAAGTAAAGGTTCTGCGGTGAGCATCAGCGCAGGGGCCGCACCATCAGCAGCTGCTCGGTGTTGCTGGCGAGAGCGTTGTAGTAGTCGGTGAACGACTTGAGCACGGTGACGTCACTGGTCACCATCGCCTTGGCGTCCAGCAGGCCGTGCTCGCGCACGAGCGCCACCGCCGCCGCCATCACCTCCTCCTCGGACTGCAGGCAGGGCACAGGGTCCCAGCGCGCGCAGTATCACATAAGGTGAGCGCCTAGTGTGCCGAGCCAAAGGGCGGGGGCAGGGTACGCTGTCACAGACGAGCAGAGCTGCTTACACAAACGGCAGGTGTGGCGGCGCTACTGCCAAATGCGAGCGAACTCACCAGGGTCGCGACCACATCCAGGCCAGGGGTGCTGGCGGGCAGGTCCAGCATCAGGGGGCTGCGCAGGAGCGCGCCCAGGACCGCAGACGACGATGCGCGCGGGCGGCGGGAGCCGCCGTCGGACTGCGCGCACAAGCGGACGGGCGGGGACACGCGTAGTGCTCAGCGCGAAGATGCGCGCCTGGCGGGCGGCCGACCAAAAATACAAACAGGAAGGGGAGATGCCCCGTTGGTCCGCCTCGCATGCGGCGGCGCCCGCTCTTCAGACGCATGCGCCGAGCCTCAGCCCGAAAGCACTCGCCCGCACCTGCAGAGTCTTGAAAACCTCCAAGTCCGAGGGGCGTCCCAGGAGCTGCATGGGCAACAGGAGAAGGGCGCATGGGGCACGAGGATGCATTTTCGGAGCCATGCGGGCTGTGGCTGCACATGTGGGGCCCGCGCATGGCGAGCGTTCCCATGCACGCACCTCATGCTGGCCCACGCGTGGCGGGCAGGACTGTGCAGAGCCATCGAAGCAAGCCGTGGAATCGCCACACAGACTGAATCCAAACGGGTTGCGCGCGGAGGCGGCGCGCTCAGGCGGCCCGTCCCCTCTGCGCTGTCGTGGGTGTCCATGTGTTCTGGCGTCACCGCCCAACAAACCTTGAGGTTGGAGGCCACCATGGCCTTGGCGTCCAGCAGGCCGTGCTCGCGCACCAGGCGCACGGCAGCCTCTGTGATGTCGTCCTCGTCCTGTGAGTATGTAGCGTTGAGGGGCGTCGGCCGGCGGTGGCAGCCACACGCACCTGCACACACCCGGCCCGAGTGACACTGGGCTTCCAGGGGCAGCGAGCGAGCCTAAGCGTGTGGAGGGCCCCATTGGCGCAGGCAAAACCGGCGCCAAAGCAATGGGTCGCCAACGGGGATAAGTGGGGAGCTGAGGGAGGCGACGGGGGCCCGTGCAGCAATGCAGCGTGGCGGCGCGGAGGCCCACCAACGACGAAGCGACGTTAGCCAGGCCCGGATAGTCGCTGGGCAGCTCCAGGCCCAGGGGGCTGCGCCTGATGGCGTCCAGGACGCGCTCGACTGTGGCACCGTTGCCAGAGGCTGGCATCATCGGGGCCAGCGGCCTGGAGTCCGCGGAAGCATTCGCGCGCCCAGCCGCGCTCGTCAGCGGGCGGCGGTGCACAACTGGGCGCATGGCCTGCTGCAGCTTGGACCGCCACGTCCCAAGAGGGACGTGCGCTTTCTGCGCCGTGGCCTCCATATTGGAGCCCGGCTCGGCTGTTCGCGGGGTCTCCTGGTTTGCGTTGGTGCAGTCGGAAAGGGACTTGCACCGGTGTTTGGTATAGGCGCAACCCAATTGCGCGGCCACACGATGCAAATACTGCTGTGGTGCAATGCGGGGCGACGCCAATGAACGCTGAGAAAAAGCAGCGGGTGAGAAGCCAGAAAAGGCTACCACGTCTATGCAGCCACAACCAGGCCGCAATCAGGCGCAAACATTCCACCGATCAGGGTGTCGTTATATCACATGCGGGCTCGCCGCACTGTTCGACCACAACCAGGGCTCTCCACACACGCGGCATTGCGCTGACTGGCCTGCGCGCATGCCACGTGCACCTGCGATATGGACATATGTCGCTTTTTACAACTGTCGTGGTCACACGCGCACTCCTGGCGCTCCGAGTGGGCTGGGGGTTGGGCATTGGTTCCTGGGTCGGGGCCCCGCCTGAGCCGTGCAACGCCATACGGGCAGGTAGATGGCCTCCTGTAGTGCAAGGCAGGACTTATAGGGGCATCTGAGGGGCGGGAGCGAGCTCGGAGCGGCTCAACCTCATCAGGGGTCCATAGGGGTCAACACCTGTCCCTGCTGCTGTCGACACATGCACCTGTGCAAGTGCCGCAGGAGGCGTTCTCAGATGCAGCAGCAAACCTTGCATGCTGCAGATGCTATGCGCAATGCGTTGACAGTTGCGTCAGGCAAGAGGTTGGGCTTGCAAGGCCGTGCATGAGCGGCGTGACCGTCGATCCTCGCCAGCTTCGCAGCGTGGATCGAGGCTGCAGAAATGCCCTGCACTAAGCCGGCATGATTGTGCAGTGACTATCGTAATGGGGTGTATTGATCATAGTCAACAATAATTCAAGCCGAAAACAGAGCATGGCCATGACTGTGGTGTAGTGGTGTGCAGTCCCGCCCTGCCAGCAGCTGTGGGAAGTTTGCTCGCACATGCGTCTACACATGCACAGTTGCAAACGAATGTGCCGACATCCCCGCGTTGTGTTGCAAAGATATTTTTACATTTTGAAGCGCCCAACAGTGCCATGAGATCGATTTGCTTGTGTCCTTGTTGAGCGTCGCGGACCCGTAGCAGTCCTGATGCGCTACCGCAGCTTGCAGGTTTGGTGATTGGGCAGTTTTGTACTGTACACCTCGCGTGTACAGTGACTGTGATGTCAGGCTCGCTGCTCGCCGGGCGCGGGGGGCGCGTGACGCCACTGGAGCTTGGGGTGGTGCTGGTGCTGGGTGTCGCGGCAGGCCTAATAATTGGCTACGTGCTTATGGGCACAGCGCATGCAATTATGGAGGTCGGCGCGGACAGCGACAGGCACTACAAGCATGGCGACTGATGGTTGCGATTCATGCGCGATCGCAAGCGGTGGGTGCCGGTGGTTGGGTTGCATGGTGGTTTGGGCAGCAATGGCGGCCATGCTGCTCAATTGCCGCGGCAGATCAATGTTTGAGATGCTGGTTTACAAACTGGCAGTGGCTTGGGTGGTGGCGGTGCAGGCTGTCTTGCATGCTCTCGCTGCAAACTAACTGCTTGTGCTCGAGGCGCTGCGAGGCGCAAACCTTCAAGCGCCGCACAAGTTGATCCTCGCTGGGTAATTGTATCTCGTCATACCTTCGCACCTGCAGGCAAAATGCAGCTGCCGCCTTCAAGCCAAACAGCAGCGGGGCGCTTCGTTGAGTAGACGGCCAGCTGCTCGCGCCCGGCAGTACTAGGGATGCTGGCGGCTGAGCGCAGCAGCAGATGTGCATCCCGCTCACAGCGACTCGTCTACAGTCGAACGCTGAGGCTGCCTGCAGCCACCGCGATTCAAGCAGCGGCGGTATGGCACACGGCAGCGCCCTCAGCTGGCCCCACCGGTTGGCACCCAGATCGGGTGGTGCGGCTGCCATGGGAAGCAGCACTCCTCCGAGAAAGCTTTCTCGGGACGCGCGTGTGCAATGCACATGCTTTCGCAGCACGTGCAAGTTCCGAACCCATAACTGGCCTTGTAAACTTGCCAGTGCGCGCATGCGGGCCTTTCACATGCATTACCGTACTTGTAAAGCGAGAGCCCTGCATCACGCCGCAACTGCTTGGCACGGCACCACTCATGCGGACGGCATGCAGTTTGCAGTCAAGTGTTGCTCACAGAGAGCATGGGGCCGCCGGCCAAAAGTCAAACCCCAGAGCAGCTCAAAGTGCTGCAACAACGCCCACCGCATCGCCCCTGGAGGCCGCGTCACACGTTCAGCGCTGCGTACTTGGCGGCACCACCGCCGCCGCCGGCCTCGAGCGCCTTTTGGTGCGCGATGTGGCGCTTTGTGGCCTCCCAGAAGGCGGCGACGTCCGGCTCAACGGCGTCTGCATTTGCGGCCAGCTCGCTGCTGACGAGCTCCAGCAGCTGCACACGGGGCAAAGGGCGGCCGCGCCGCGCCGTGAACGAGGGGGGGCGGGAGGGCGGCGGCGGAGACAAAGTGCGGTGTGGGTCGAAAATGGGAGCTGAGGCCGTGACGACCAGCGCGGCGCCGCATGCCGCCGCGGTGCATGCTGTTAGAGGTGGGGCGTTCTTCGGCCCGGGACCCCGGCCACGTCCCCCGCGGCCCTGGTGGGCCCCGCCCGCCCGCCCACCTGCGACACGACGCCCGCGCTCATCTCGCTCACGCCCTTCTCGAAATAGTACAGGTAGTGGTTGGCAATTGTGACGTAGAGCCCGAGGTGCACCGCCGCCGCCGCCGCGGCCTTGCCGCCCGCGCCGCCCCCAGACCCGCCGCCCGCCGCCCGCGCCGCCGCGAGCCCGCTCGCCGCGCGCTGCTGCTTTGCGGCGCCGACCGCCTTGAGGGCGCGCTTCAGGCCCGCCATCACCTTCGCCGCGTCCCGCACCGGCGGCTGCGCGGCGGCGGCGGCGGGCGCGGGCTTCGGCTGCGCGCCGGGGGCGGGGCCGTCCTGCCACCAGAGGTGGCTCGTGCCGCAGGCGGCGCGGCACTGGTCGGCGCGCTTCAGGAGCTTGGCGGCGTAGGCGGCGACGGCCTGGCTGAGGGCGTCGCGGTTGTCTGGGGTGATGCTGTGGCAGCGGTGGAGGGTGCCAACGATGGCCTGCAGCGCCGTGACCTGGGGTTGTGATGGGGGGGTATGGTATGTGTGTGTGGGTTTGAGGGAAAAGGGCGCGGAGGAGCAGGGGTTGGGGTTGTACGATGGGAACGGCCGGGGCGGGCATGGGGGTGTACCTTGATTTGCGCCGTGGTGAGCTTGACATCACACGCACATGTGTGCGCATGGCGCCATGGGCACGCGCACAGGCGTACATACACGCGCCCACACCCCCACACGATCGTAGGCACCAGTGCTCACGCACACACGCCCTCACGCATGCAATCAACCAAACACACACACACACAGGCATATACACATGCACATGCACACACAAATACACACGTGTGCGCACGCCCTGCACAGCACGCATACACGCTCCTACATGCACATGCGCGCGCACACACACGCCCGCGTACACACACGCAGGCACGCACATTCATACACACGTCCACGCACCTTGGCCCTCGAGTCCGCAATGGCGTCCTCGTACAGAGTGAAAGCCTTTGGGAATGGGGTTGGGGGGCCCAGTGGGATTTTGAAAAGCACGCGTGAAATGAGATGAGGACGTGAGGATGGGTCGAGTTGGGTTGGCAAGGGGAGAGATGTGCTGACGGATAGGCCAGCTCTAGGGAGCCCCGCAGGCCGGGCGGCCCCAGCCGCACCTGCTCGAAGAATTCGTATGTCAGCAGCTCCAGCCCGGCCTCCTCGCTGCACACGTGCCCCGCCACCAGCATCAGCCGCAGCGCCTGCAGCGGCGCGGGCACCTCGGACAGCGCCAGCGCGACGCCCAGCAGCCACTGCAGCGCACCCTCCGCGCTGGCGCCTCCCGCAGCGGCGGCGGCGTCCGCGCCATCGGCGGCAGCGGCGCCCGCGTCGGCGGCGGCGCTGGCGTCGGCGTCGGCGTCGGCGTCGGCGGGCTTGTCTGGCGTGGTGATGGGGCCGCCGGCGGCGATGAGGCGCCGCACGACCTGGGGGGATGGGGAGTTAGGTAAGACGCGGACTTAACAGCAAGGCCGAGCCCGCCCTGCTCGCGGGGCGGCGGCGGCGGCGCGCAAGTGAAGGCGGCGGCGCCGAGGCGCGGCGTTGCGCGGGCCCCGCCCTACTGAGATGCAGAGACGGCAGCAGGCCCCGAGATCGCGACCGCTGGCAGCTGCCCGGGCTGAGGGGGCGCACGCGCACGCGCGCGCCTCACCTCCAGCGCGCAGAAGGCGAGCGCCGGGAACGTGTGCCGCATGCGCCGCGGCCCGCCGCGCTCCAGGTGGGTGCGTACCGCCGCCAGAATGGCAAAGTGCTTCTGGGGGTCGTCGGACGCGAGCTGGTGCAGCAGCCGCGAGACGAGCAGCTGCTCGTCCTCCATGTCCTGCCGTTTGTCGTGGGCGAGAGGGCCAAAAGACAAATGATGTAAGAACGTCAGCAGGAGAAAACGGTTGCGTACCCTCTTGCCCTGGAGGCAGGGTGTACCCCTGTCTGCAGGGTTGTTTGGTCACTGCTGACGGAGCATGACGTGATGTTATGCAATGGAGGTGTGCGTGTGGGGTCTGCAGGTCACGATTGGGACCCAGGTGGTTGCGATTGACACGTCGAAAGGAGCCTTGACGGGAGGGGTGGCGCCGGCGCGTGGCTGGCAGGCGCGCCGTGTGCCTGCGGTGCAAAGGTTACACGGCGCGCCGCCAGGACGACGCGAGCGCACCCAACGGATCAAGCCCCTCGACGGCAGGACCCAGCATGAAGACAGCATGATCACGCGCGCATACCCCGCACACACCCCCACTCTGACACATACAGACCTACTCACAAACGCGAGGCACAGACTTCCTCTCTCTCATGTACACATACACAAGCCAGCACTCACGCACAAGTACACAAGCAAACTGATAAAAAATCACGCGCGAGCACATAGACGCACCCATTGCCCCCATCCCCCCAACCACACACACACCCTCACACACATGTGTGTGCCCAAGCGGCGCACCTCGTCGTCGGGCTCGTCCTCTGCGGGCCCCTCCTCCACCAGGGGCGCTATGAACCTGAACAGCTGCTGCACCGACTCCAGGCTGCCCACGCGCACGCCGTGGCTGAGCAGCGTCTGGACGACCTGCGGTCAACACAGGTTTGACCGCCGCCAGGGGGCGGGGCGGTGGGCGGTGGCAAACCCGGCACCCCTCGCTTCGACCCAATTAAAATTTGGACACCCACATCCCCCAAAGCTCTGGACTTGGGAGCACCGCTTCGAGAGCTCGTCAGCTCGCAGTTGGAGGTGGCACTGGCTGCGCCGGGGCGGGGCCCAAGGCACCGCCAGGCACAACGGGCTGTCATGAGCTGGGCGGGCGGGCGCTAGGAGGAGGGGGCTGAAGCTTATGGGGCCACCATAGGGGGTGCTGGGGCCCCCACCTTGATTGCGACGTCCTTGTGTGTGCGTGGGGGCAGCAGGCCCATCAGCGGCGGGAAGTTGCTCTGCAGGGAGGGCGTTTGGGATGGGCCGGGTGCGGCAGAAGCATTGGTTTGCCGTTTGTCTGAATCAGTGCATGTAGGCGGGAACGGCGGCCTGTGGAGGGCCGCAGCTGTGGAGGCAGGAGCAGTGGGGGCGGAGCGAGGGCCCTCGCCGCGTCCGGCGGGGTCAGCCTCTGCTCTTCCTCACAGGTCCTTCCCCGTTCCAACCGCTTTCTGCCTGGTAATGCTAGCCCAGCTGGCGGAAGGAAGAAACAGCGATGCAGCGAGTGTGCAGACACAAAAGGTCTCCTGCTTGCAAAGGGGGCCACTCACCAGCCCAAGGACGGCCACGGGGGCGCACTTGCCAAGCGGCGCCAGCAGCAGCGCCACCAGGGCCTTCTCCGCCTTGGGCTCGCCCGACACGCCGCCCTGTCAACATCGGTTGGGGGCGGTTGTGGCGTTAGACTGGCGTGACGTCATACTGGCGTGGCCAGTCTGGCGCAGGGCACACGGCGAGGGCGCAAGTGCGCAGAAGCTGCCGGCGGCGAAGCACGGTGTTGTGCGGTTCGCATGCTGGGACGCAAGCTGGCGCACAGGTGCGCTTCGGCCGGCCGGGCCGCGGGGTCCCACCTTGGCGGCCAGCGCCGTGTGGGCTGCACCCAGCACCCTGTTGACATTGTCCAGCCGCTCTGGGTGGACCTGGGGCACGGTGTGTGTGTGTGTGTGTGTGTGTGTGTGTGTGTGTGTGTGTGCGCACGCGTGCGTGCGTGCGTGCGTGCGTGCGTGCGTGCGTGAGCGTGCGTGAGTAACCCGGGTTTGGGGAGCCGGCAACACAGAGAGGGCAAGGCGTGTGGGGGCGTCCGCACAGGAAGGGAGGCAGAGGGCTGCAAAGCGCCAGCAGGCGTGTCTGCGCGTGCCGCCCTGCGCGCAGGCAGGGCGGCCGACCGTGCTCGTCTCGCAATGGCTGCCGGCAGCCCTGTGGAACCCTAGCCCTCAAAGCATGCCCATTCCCTCCCTTCGAGTGCCCTCCCCTCCCCCGCCAAGAAAAATCTGCCACGTTGCGAAGCGCAGTGAGTAAAGTGTACAACCAAACAATACGCGGACTGCTCTACCAGGGTAGCTGGAAGCAGGGGGTCGAGAACGCTACCCGGGCGCTAGCAGCCAGCGGTGCCGACACGCGCCCCCCCCCCACCTGCTCTGTGAACCTCATGAGGGCCACATACATCTCTACGAGTGACGCCGCGGGGATGTCACCGTGCAGCTCCGCCACCTGCGGTCAGGAGGGTGGGACAGGGTAGAGAGTTGGATGAAACAGGATGGGATGGGATGGGATAGGGTGGGACAGGATGGAATAGGGTGCGATGGATTGATACGTACAGGATAGGACCGGATGGGCTGGAATGGGATGAGAAAGAGTTGTCAGGCGCGCCGCGGAAGCACGCTGTTGGAATGATCCACGCTTGTGGAATCAGGTGCCAATTCAAGAGAGGGCAGGGGGCGGCTGAGGCACTGTGGGGCATGCCGGGGGTGGTCGGAGTCGATGTACAGTCCAAGCAGGCGGACGCGTTGGGCGGGCGCGCGGTCATGGCCGCAACACGAGGGGGCAGCGTCGCGCCTCACGTCGCTGAATCGTCGCCAGTCGGCGTCGGTTGGCAACCTGGTCCCCCTCACCTTGCTGATGGACTCCACGAACTTCTCAAACGCGTGGCTGCCCAGCAGCTGCTCCACCACCGCGGGGTCGGACGCCGCGTACCTGCGCCGCAACGGCAGCGGCGGCGGCGGCGGCGGGGCAAAGCGGGGACGGATCCGACCACGTGTCATTGGTTTCTACCGGCAACCTCATGCGGACCCCGGCTGCAGGCACCCTGGTGGGGCTCATCCATCCCCAATCCGTGTGACACGCACGCGTCTGCTGTTTGGGTTGTCTGAAATCCCAAGAAAAACAATGCGCCGAGCAGCAGCGGCTCGCCGCCCCCGAGACGCACGCGCCACCACGTGGCGCCCTCTTGCCCCAGCCCACCGTGCGAGGCGGTCCATGAGCGACGCCATCACCGAGTGCAGCTTCACCCCCGGCTGCAGGTCCGGCAGCGCCCCCAGCACTGCGTCGAGGGTGCTGAGGTGGAACTCGTCAGGGA